GCCACTGTGCAATCGCGGTCATGTCTCAAAGGTGTGCACCACATAAGAGTGGTCGGGGTCGCGAGGAGAGATTGGTACAGCAGGTGTGGTGGAAAGGTGGAGGCTTGTAAACGCCGCTTTGTCAAGAGGCGGTGTTGTGTCAACGCTGGTTTGCAAAGCTATGGTATGTGAACGCTGGCTTGCGTAAAAGTCGTGGCGTGTAGACGCTGGTGTGCTCAAGAGCTGTGGTGAGGAAGAACTGCTTTGTCCCAAAGCCGCACGTGCTGTGTAAACACCGTAGAAGTGCTTGCATTGCGTAAAAGCTGTGGCGTGCAACCTCTTTGCAGGGGCATTGCTGTTGCTGGTAGTGAATAGACTCAGACGTCATGCTACGGGGGTCATGGTGGTGCTGGGGTGCTAATGGTGCTGGCCAGGCAGGTGGGTCCCCAAGGTATTGACTCCCCCAAATGAGATGAGATATCACTACGGGGGATGGGCCCCCCCGTAGAATTGACATTTCACTGCTTGGTTTCGAACAGGCTGTTCAAGCAACCCCTATGCTTCGCAAAGCAAACTCAAAGTAGCCCTCACCAAGTTACCTTTCGTGGCAATGGTCAAAAGACAGTCCGAGAAATAGAGCTGGGTCTCTGGCCGTCCATGGGAGGCTCTGCCTGTTATCTCTGCAAAACACGGCAAACTCAGCAAAAATTCAAGGAAAGAGATGGCCACGGTGAGAGCAGTGTTTGTTCTTTAGATGTATGTTGTGTGTTTCTTTTTGTAGACTTTGTTTTGTTCTTTAGACTTTAGACCTTGTGTCTTTCTTTTAACTTTAGACCGTGTTTCCTTTCACACCAACTCAGCAAAGACTGGAAAGAGATGTCCAAAGTAGCAGTGCACTGAGTTTGCAGACACTTGCTCACTGAAGGACTTCTTTCGTGGGGGTTTCGATGGATCGTGCCTCAAGAAGACGTTGCCAAGTCACGGGAGTCTGCAACGAAAAGATTGGTTTTTGTTTGCCCCGGGGGGGTAGGCCGGCCATAGAGGTAACTAGGTAGCTAGTAGAAGCTAGGTAGCTAGTAGCTTAAGTAGCTACTACCTAGGACGCAGGGCTCACGCTTTTAATGATTTGGTTCCTAGATTTTTAGGTATAAGTTGAGCCATGCTCAGGCATTGACAAGGGAGCGGATCTCCAACCTCCTTTGGCAAACCTTGAAACTGCACATCTCCCAATGTGACATTTCTGCACATCTCTATATAATATTATCTAACTGTAACTACTCTGCAGCCAAGCATCTCCAAAAGCGATTGGAATGAGCGATCGCCACTGTAACTGCGTGTGTGTGAAAGGAGCCAGTGGCTTTCAAATCCTACCGGCCCCCAGTGTCTGGCTGCACCTCCGCATGTCTTTCCCTTCATCGGTCAGCCTCAAATGTGTGCACCCAGTGCACGCATTCGGACACAATATCTACGCATCTACGCAAACTCTTTCTTGCGCTGCATTGCAAAAGCTGAGCAACCAACATAAGAAGAGTAGGATAGCCGAAAATTCCAAAGCGCTTGTTCAGTATGGGATTCTTCGTGGAATCAACTCCTGGAAGCGTAGCAGCTAATAGCACCAAGAAAATTGAGAATTTTAAAAATTATCCCGGCAAGAGACCCCAAACAGTGTGGAGTGTGTATCATACGCAGTCCTCACAGAAAGTGGTAGCAGGAGGAGGTGAAGCACCCGCGAGCACGAAGGAGGAGAAAGTAGAAGTGCATGGAAGTAGGGAGAGTAGCACCCGCGAGCACGAAGTAGAAGGTGAGGTGTAAATTCGGCTGAAAGTAGGAGTCAGAGTGAGCGTGGGCGTTGTGAGTGCGAGTGAGAGCGAGAGAGTCAGAGTGAGAGTGGACATAGTCAGCGTAAGAAGACACAGATCAGATCTGCAAGCTAGACGGTCACACATCTCATAGAGAACACATGAGAACACAGTCACCAGAGCACGCAGCAAGTGAGCGAATCAGTGAGCGAGTGAGAATGAGTGAGGGTGTGACAATGAATGCGAGCGTGAGTGAAAGGAAGACGATCACATATCTGAGAAGACCGTCACCAGAGTACACAGCAAGTGAGCGAATCAGTGAGCGCGTGAGAGTGAGTGAGAGTGACAGTGAATGCGAGCGTGAGTGAAAGGAAGAATGCTTGTGAATGAGAGAGAGAGAGAGAGAGAGTGTGGGCGTTATGAGTGCGAATGAGAGAGCAGAAGACCAAGGAGCTCAGAACACAGTCATGAGAGCACACATCAAGGTAGTGAATGAGTGAGTGAGTTGCCCCCAGTTTCCGAGTGCACCTGGGTGGAACCACGCCAGGAGACAGAGAGCACAGACCTGCAAGCTATACGATCAGTGTGAGTGTTGCCCACAGTGACCAGAGCGCACAGAGATCGCGGGAGCACACACACCAGAGCACCTGCCTGGAACCACGCCAGGAGACAGAGGTCTAGATGTCTAGGAGTCTGAGTCACCAGACAGAGATCCAGAGAGCACACATCTGAGAGCACAGTCACCAAAGCACGCATCAAGTCGGCAAACTCACATTGCGCTGAACCTGTCACGAAATCTGCGCTTCGAGGTTCACCAAGTGCTGCGCCTGCCACGAAATCTGCACTTCGAGGTTCACCCAGTGCTGTGCTTGCCACGAAATCTGCACTTCGAGGCTCACCAAGCGCTGTACCTGTCACGAAATTTGCACCTCAAGGTTCACAAAGCGCTGCACCTGCCACGAAATCTGCACATCGAGGGTCACAGAGCGCTGTGCCTGTCACGAAATCTGCGCTTCGAGGTTCACCAAGTCCTGCACCTGCCACGAAATCTGCACTTCGAGGTTCACCAAGCGCTGCGCCTGCCACGAAATCTGCATTTCAAGGTCCACAAAGTGCTGTACCTGTCACGAGATCTGCACTTCGGTGCTGCACCTGCCACGAAATCTGCACATCGAGGTTCACAGAGTGCTGAGCCTGTCACGAAATCTGCGCTTCGAGGTTCACCAAGTGCTGCGCCTGCCACGAAATCTGCACTTCGAGGTTCACAAAGCGCTGTACCTGTCACGAAATCAGCACTTTGAGGTTTGCAAACTGCATTTGCCACGACATCTGCACATCGAGGGTCACAGAGCGCTGTGCCTGCCACGAAATCTGCAAACGAGACACATATCCAGAAGTCACGATTCACTGCACCTGTCACGAAGTCTGAGCTCCTTGACGATCACCACCATGTCCAAAGCGCTGCGCCTCCCACGAAAACTGCAAACACCTCCGATCCCTTCCACCTGTCACGAAAAGTCGACTTTGGAGCACCAAAACACGACGCCTGCCACGAAAAGTGATCACCATGTGCAAAAATGCGCACGGCACCACAACGAGAGCGCAGTCGCGACAAGCGCACGCTCCAGCCACCAGATTCCGCAAGCCTGCGCAGTCGAAGTGCGCATGGACGATGTCGAGAACCTCATGAATGTACTGTAAATAGCAGCGAATCAGCCGCACACGCCCGCGCGCTTCAGCGATCTAAGCATCAGCTGCCTTTCCCTTACCGTAAGAACCCAAACAGTGTGCTCAGTGTGCCCACACTGTTTGGGGAAAAAAACGACTCGTCCCACTGTGATCCAAAGTTATGTCCCTTCAAGGCTGAGCAAAGGGCTCCCAATGCGCATGCCATCCTCGGGCCACCAAAAGCCCAGTCAAATGTTGAAGCTGCTTTCCATGAAATCCGGGGTCTGGAGACTTGTTGCACTCCTGTCCTGCTGACTATTGGACTGTATAATACTTGGGCCAATACTTGGGACAAAACATGTCTTCCGACACAACCCTTATTGAGGCACATGCAGGAAGCTCTTCTTGCGCAAGCTTGTGAAAGTCCTACAGCAACAGCCCTCTGACAACAACGCCACCAGTTCAGAAGTCAAAAAATTGCGAACAAACAGGGAGTGACTGGACCAAAGAACGGACTTCTCTCTTTTTCCTTTTCAGGATATAGACTCTTTAAACTTTAGACCTTTCTTTTAAATTCTATCCAAACTGCACAAAAAGGGAGTGACCGGACCAAGAACGGTGAAGGACTTCAATGGCTGAGCACACGAACACAGCTTTCTGACTGCCTTCCGCTTCACTGTTTTCATGTTTGCTCCTTGGCCATGGCTTTGCAGTGAGAGCACCATGGAGCGAAGAACCTAAAACAAATACCCAGTCCGAGAAAATTCAGAACCAATTACAGAGTCATTCCTGAGTCACAAGCTTCACAAGGATCGGCCCTTCTTGCAGCACTTGGTCCACATTGCTAGACTCAGAGGGAAAGGCATCTTCCAACAAACTCTGTGACAAAGCATGATTCCGATTGACTGAAGCTTCGTTCCCTTCCGAGCATTCCAAAATGACCTGTATAAGGTAGTTGGTGAAAACCGTGGCCAAGGGCTACATGTATCTCCACAAAATCTCAAGGCGCTGGCATCAATGTCGATCCAACCCCACTTGCCCTCCTGCAAAACTGTGTCAATGGCAATATTCAAAGAGGACCCTGGCCCGGCCAAAAAGAAGAGCCTATATTATATAAATGATAAACGGATATGGACACCATCTAGAATGATAAATATATCTTTTGCAGGTCACAGAGCAGTACATGCTAGCCTTCCTCTTATTCTGTGCTATTCAAACAGATTGTCCATTATGTCATATGTTCTACTGCATAGAGCAAACCAGTTGCTGCTCCTCAATGGCTGCCTCTGAGCATGCCACGGCCAATAGGATAAGCGCACTTTGCATGGTGTTTTTATCTGCGTTCGTTGTAGCTTGACCTTTGTTACCATGAGACAGGTAGCTTGCTTGATGCTCTTAGAAAAGGGCTCGGTCTCCTGCGTTTGACGCTGATGGTGCAGGTTACATTACTTTATTTTTTAGCTACTTTCACAAGCTGAGACTACCTTGTGGTCAAAAGAGTGAAATGGCTGCATACATGGTGTGAGCTAGCTTGCTTGATCTGCACCTGAAGCTGGCCAAAGGTGTCTTTCTTGATTTGGCAAAAGCTGCTCATCTCAGTTGAATGACACTACATCAGAATAGCCTGCAAACAAAAAAATAAGTTGCAAAGAGTGACTTTTTCGACAAGTCATGGATTCGAGGACAGTTCGATCCCAGCAATCATTCCTCATGAACCACTTGCAAACAGCACGTGGCCTAAGCACGAAGGCTGGCACAAGCAGCCCTGTTCCGAGGAAGAACACACAAGCAAAGCAGCCGTGTGGTCCAAGTGAGGGACTGAGAGCGACTGAGGGCGACTGCGGGACCAAAGGTGTGAAGGAGAGGATGACGATGAGTGATGTGAATGATGAAATAATGAATGTTGTGTGCGTGTGTGTGTGTGTGTGTTGTGTGTGTGTGCGCTGTGTGTGTGTGTGTGTCAAACCCTGTTCCTAAGGGATCCACACACTTCAATACCTTTCCTACTTCACTGCTTAATTCGACATCTAACTAACTATTTAAATGTAGAGTCCATTAGGGGGCTGGAGTGTGCTTCAGATGTCTCCAGCCAACGAAGATGCATCTGTTGCACTGTGATATATCTCTGGGACGCCAGAGTTACGATCCTGCAATTTTCAAACCACATCGACGATTTAAAAGATACTGTTCAGCATTGTTCAGCGGACTCGTTCACCTGTCCGTTCTTCGCAGGGCCATTTCTGAGATCAAGGTTTTGAGCGCTCTAGTTCGGTATATAATGCAGTATCTAAATTGGGGGAAGTCGTTAACTGACTACGCTCTTGCGAACCTTATATCTAAGTGTGCCTGCACCCTGGAATCGCATAGTCCCTTTTGAGCTTGGTCCATTCCACAACTGAATCATATCCCCAACTTACTGTAACTCCGTCGACTTGTAGACGAATCTTTACGCGACCATGCCAAAGCGAGACCAGGGAAGACACAACCCAACCTTGGTGCAACTATACCGCTATACCTGCACTGTACAGTCAGTTGTCGGGTTGTATCATTGCGTACCTAAGCATGTATGTACGTACGTACGTATGTATGTGCCAAACTCGGTTGAGGCTGCTGAGGTTTTCTAGAGGTCGGCTGACATGGTTAGACACCGCTGCCTCACTCGGGCCTTTGGGCCCTTTGGTGACAAGAAGTCAGGATATCATCCGAAGATCCTCAAAACGTCTTCTGACTCGTTTATGATAGGTACTATGTATCCACGAGGTGGGATGAGAGATGAGAGGTGGTGAGGTGGAACATGTGGATCACTCTGACACAGTTTGATCAAAGAGACAAGCTGGCACAAAAGGTCATGGCTGTTGTTGGGCGTTTACAGTAAGCAGTCTGAGGCATTTGGCAGTCCCAACCATGGGCAAAGCTGACGTCATGCGACTCGTCTTCGTCCAGAATCAGATCGTCACCCAATTCTCCACTTTTCCTGTGAATTCCGGCCATCCAAGCAGTTGGGAATTTGTGTCAACTCTTTGAGGTCAAGATGATTGTTGGCCTCAAGGTCTCTGCCAGCGACAAGAAGGAATCGATGCTGCGACCCACATCCTCAGATTGAACCTCAATGGCCTCGCAAAAAGTGTAGACCAAGCGCTGTCAGCATCAAACGATGCAACGAATTCTCTCTTTGTCAGCGCATCTTAAAGGATTCGCAGTGCAATGCTACTAGGTTGGAGGCCATCGCTACTAGGTTGGAGGTCATTGCTACTAGGTGATGTATTAAACATTACATGTAAAAATATTCACCGGTTGAACTTGCGAGAGCCAACAACCCGCACATCATGGACACAGATCGAGCGACCCGCCTGTCTGATGCCCATTAGCACTGAAACCACCTGATCCATGCCTGCATGCTTTCTTCAAAACAAAGGCCGGAACAATGTGTTTTGAAGTATAATTAATACAAAAGATAACCAGGTGTTTCGAAGACATGGTTTTGAAGACATGGCTCCCAACCATGTGCTGTGTTTTGAAGAGACTACCACCGTAAACGCTGCTGCAAGAGACTGGAAGAGCCTTGCAGCAATGTTGTTGGTTGCAGCTTTTCCTCGAAGGCTTCACCTGAGGAAGTTTCACCTGAGTAGTAAGCACCCTTGACCCTTGATGTACACAAATCTTTAATGAAGGTTTATGTACACTATATACACTATATACACACGACGAAATCATCGAGATATAGCGATTAGATTAGAGTGTTTGACAACAACAAAACTCCAAGAACTCAAGAACGGACTGGCTACAGAGTGAACGTTTAGCTAGAGTGCTTCTCGCCGGTGGCAGGAGCTTCTCTGGCCGTCTGCCTGGAGGTGGCTCACCTTTCATCAGGACAAGTGTCACCTTTTCTGCATGTAATCTGACGATCGCCCCTTTTCTTTTTCTAAATCCAAATATGTTTGGACTAAAACAAACGGGATGGGAACGGTTGTCCATGTTGCCTCCAATTCTCCATGAACTTTGTGCCGCAAAAGGAAAGCGAAACATGCAAATCTTGGGCTCCGACCATCTTCGAGTGCCACCTGCGACCATCTCCATTCCTCTTTTCTGCTGTGAAATAGATGGTAAAACTACCCGCCCCGAATCGGCAACAAATAAAACGTTCAGCATCCAATTCTGTGCCTCCCATCCATTTGCGCGAAGGCAAAGCTTAGACTTAACTATGCGCCATACCCAAGACTCTGTTCGAGTTCAATCGTTCCATGCGCAAATATCTGCTTGGTTTTGCTTATATAACTTATATACATAAGTTGAAGAAAAGGATGATGGGTATATACCAGGTTTAAGGAGTTTTGAAGCTTGGACATCTACGTAAAAAGGTCCCAGGCTTCAACGTTTTAACAAATGCCCATTTGGGACCAAAATAGACAGGACATCTACGATGGGGCCCAACTCAGGTTTTCTGATGCTTGCCATTATGTAACCAAAAGGAAAAAGGCTATGATCTTGTTTTGATTGATGTCCACACCTCTTGTTTGCTTGTTTCTGATGGTATTCCCCATTTGTCATTTGCCTCCATGTCAGAGAGTGCCGAGTCTGTCAATGAATCCTCACAAGGCTAAAGGTACAGGGAAAAAGCAATGATTTCAGTCAATGCTTCAAGCAAGAATTACTATACTGTTTGCAACGCTGAACTATGGATGGCAATGTGATCCAAACGTTGCATTCTTGCACAAGGACACAACTCTGCCATGGGCTATGTACTGTCCTCATTGTCTTTTGCAGGGATATCCGTTGAGCTTGTTGCCGCCTCCCGATCAAAAGAAAGGCCGCAACCAAGGACCAATGTCGTATCAACTTATGTACCTTGCTTGTGATTTAGGCAGTCATGAGATGCCACTGCAGGCAGCCCATGGCAAAATACAGCTCGAACAAGATCTTCGAGATGATCTTGAGAGGTACCATTTTGCGATTCCAAGACATGAAAAATGTATACAAACCAATAGAGATTGTTCCATCGTCAGTGATTTGACCTCCCAATTGCTCAGCCTTTGCAATGGCATCTTGCAACCAACCTTGGCTGCTGTGCTTTTTGAGCTAATCAGAATCAATCAACTGCTGAAGGCCGCAACAGTCCAGCACGTCTTCCACACCCAACAGTTTTGCCCATGTCCAACTGACTTCAGGGAGCGGGGGAGGAACTTTATGAGGGTAAGGAACTTGGCTGCAACCGAAAGACTCTCCATTGAAGTAATACGCATCGCCTCCCTGATGTCTTGAATGTCCACAATGCAGCGCTGGAGCAGTATGGAGCAGTCGAAGTTTCAAATTTCAAAGTGTCTAGAGAAACTTGCTCAGCATGTCTGGCCCTAAAGTAACCAGTCACGACGATGAACTCCCATCTACTTCTAGTCGGAAAGGGGTGCAAGGTGCAAACGTTTAACGCAAACATTATATTGTAGCAAATGCGTAAGGAATAATGTCCCTCCAAGGTGTATTCTGGTGCCTGCTTGCTTACGCCGGCCATAAAGTCCGCACTGCGATGCAACAGCATCAGCAAGCAGTTGTTCATCTCTGCCTGCGTTGGGAGTCATGTAAAGCAAGCCTTGCAACATCAATTTACCATACGATACCTGATGCGGCTCAGCAACATATCTGCTATCTGGCACTTTTTACATGGGGTCTCTGACGAGGCTGTGCAGGGCACAGGAAAGAAAAGTACATGGTCATCTCACCATGCGACACTTTGTACACCCAACGGCGCATCCCACAGAAGCTGGCATACGCAATGTTGGGATACGGGGCTGTTTAAGCCAAAGACTTGCGTACTGGAGCGAGCCCTGATGACTTGATGTCACAAAAGAATGGGCTGTTCATGTGGCAGCAAAGGGACTCACTGTATTGCACACCCCCGTTGGGTTTCCTGAGCTTGTGCTACAGGATCTGCTGCATTGCTCCTAAGAGAATCTGCATCGCTCGCAGATGTGAATTCCGGCCTTTCGGGAAATGGGGCGTTCTGTTGAGATGGCAAAGAGTTGAGAAAGTGACTGCGCAATCGATCCGTTGCAGCCAGGGCTGATGGCTTCCTGACATAGTACCTGAGTCTTTGCATGTTCATATCTTTTGGTGCACTTTCTGCCCTGAGCCTTTTGGCATAATTTGAAGAGGTGACGAGACACTTCTTTTTGTTTAAAGTCACTTCTCTGCCTACAAGCAAGTGGCGTTCAAAAGAAATCTAAAGGCACAAGCAGGTAAACAGAGCTGTATTAATGCACATAAACGAACCAAACATTGAGCATAGGCTCATAGGTCTAGGCTGGTTGGAAAAATTACTCAGAGTAGCCAATCAGCATCGAAGTGGGCGTAGGGAGTTGCAAAGTCGGATCACCATAGTGTTGGGGCGGCTGTGGAAAACCCAGTGAGCCATAAGGCTGTACCTTGCCTCCAGAGATGTGGCCCAGGTCCTCCGAGAAGACGATGGTATAGTCCCAGCGTGTCGCACCGTCAAACCCTTCCCGCCAACGGACCGTGCCTTTGAAGGTCCGCGAGGCTTCGTCATAGGAGACCAGCTCGAAGGGCTTTTGCCTCGGGGGGAAGGAGCCATCATCCAAACGCCAGGTCTCTGGAGCATTCGCATAGGAAATGTAGCAATCCTCAGGACTCTCAAAGTGATAGCTCGCAACCCCCTCAAGCACAGAGGCATAGGCGGCTCCTGACAGAAATCTATCACGTGGCTTTCATGAGTTTCACATCCAAGCATCCTCAAAACAGGAGAAATGTCAATTCAAGCAGTGAAAGATGTCAAAGGAAAGAAAGTCTTCTGGGAATAATCTACTTCAAGCAAAGCCTGCCTTGCACATAGACTGAGCCAAAAATGGTTGATGGTGGTGGCATCCATCGAAGATATGAGAGATGTCTCTCCCAATCAAAGATCCAGGGAGCCAAAAACGGCTTGATCTGTGTTCCTTCTTGAGAATGGGAGATGATCTCTCCACCTTGTCAGACATTGTCGAACAAAGGTAAGGAATGGTGATCGCTGTAGCAACTGGCACTGAAACGCGCGCCTATAATTCCTGCGAAGTCTTCCGAAAACTCAATCCGGTAGACCCACTTGTGAGTGCCGTGAAAGGCAGGATCCCATTCGATGAGTCCTCCAACAAATGCAACGCTCAATGGATGGCAACCTTGCAACGCCCATCGCCGCGTTTCCCCCGACGCAACGCCGCGCGTCGCTCGCACGTCGCTGCGCCTCGAAAGGTCCGTGTCTCCTCGTCGTAGCTCACCTCCGTCCAGGACTTTCTTTCAGGAGGTGGATTGCCATCATCTAGCCCTGCCATTGACGTGCTTAAAAAAGAAGAAAAGCTTTCCAGCTGCTCTTTTGTGGAATTAAAGGAGTGTATTAAAGAAAGAGGATTCACGAGAGGATGCGCCCTTTCCGCAAAGTGTGCCAGGCGAGCGCCAGCTGGATGGTGCTGCAGCATACGAGATATAACAATCCTCTCGATCTTGCAACATCTTCAAACGTTCCACGTGCACTGCGCGATTCCAACTGAAACTTGAACCGAAAAGAACAGACTTGGTCTCCCTGGTCCTCTAGTGAGTCGAAGTGATAGCTGGCAAGGCCTTTCACGCAGGCTGTAGCAATCATAGCTCAGCATAGCTGAGCACACTGCTACTGTAGCTCAGGGTCCAAAAAAGAATTGGAAAAGGCTGCAATTCCACTGCCAGGTTGAGAGTTCTCTTTTTGCGAGCCAGCCTGCCTATTTTGCCACTCTGCACAAAAATGCAACCCCAAAGTGACTGCACTTCAGGTTCCATCAGGAGCTTCCCATCCTTCTGCAAGTTGTATACACCTTTGCAATCCACAAAACTGAAAGCCCCTGTCCAGCCCGTACCAAAAGATGTATCCCTTTGCCACCAAGAGCGCTGATGTGTGTGCGGCAAAGTGGACAGCTTCCAGCCCATTCAGGTGGGCTGCTCAGCAGCACTTGCAGGATGCAATGACCTCAAAGTGCGGTGAAAGCGTGGCGAACGCATCGACGCTTTCACCGGCGCGTCTTTGCTCTGCCGAGACGCGACAGTAGACGTGCTTGCATGGCGCCGTGCACGGATCCTCGCGCCAACTCGCCCATTTCGTGTTTTCAGTTTCACACTATGTGAAATCAACCAATCCCTACAAGAGCATGACGACCTTTTGTAACCCGCTGTTTGCGAACAGTGTTCGAGCAGGTTTAACGGCATACCTTTTGTTGAAATCAGGACGGTAGAATCCAAACAAAGCATAACAAAGCCACTAAACCTCTAAAGCTTAGAGTCTTCCACATTGCCAAGGCAAATGGGACATTCAAGCATGGCTCTCTTTGCTGAAGGAACTCCTTTGCGTGTCAATGCCAAGCGATACTTATCTTTTTGTCATGATGAGAGGTGCCAATGGTGCCAACGGAGTTGTTTTGGCACTACCTTGAACAAAGCTAATTGAACCGCAAGGGCTGTCAAAAATATCTTGACCAGGACAACTGCGACATGTTTGATGGAGACCCAGGAGCGACGTTGTGCATTCCACTCAGGCAGCATTTGATCATATTTGATCTGACTAAATCCCAAGCTCATGCAGCATACTGTCTGGAAGAAATGGCTGAGGGATGATCTCATGTGAGGGTGGTCTGGCAAGCGTGTCAAGCTGCAAATTGGAGATGCAGCTGTTCCACAAGCCAAGCGTTTCAGGGCAGGGGGGCACTTGAAAATGTTTCAACGGAAGGTCGTTATCATCTCGCCCAAAAGGGTTCTCAAGCTCAACTCCAATGTAGTTGAGGCAGCACCTGGCAAGCAATCTCGAGGCCATAGGAGTGCACCGCGGTTCCCTCCTCTCTAAGGACCCTCAGGCCCCAGCATCGAGAAAATTGGAATAAACGTTAGAGTCATGGCAAGCCAAACCTCAGAAGTGTTGCAGGGAGAGTTGACACACACTCCATGGAGAGATCCCAAATGCAGATGCCATGTGTGCACAACACTCCCGTACCATGAGTGTTGTCACAATACTTGAGTGGTTCACGGCACTTTAGGGAACGACTCACTCATGTTCCACAAGGGTGTTTGGCTATGCATACACAAAAAGTGTAGAGTGCAAACTTGAGTTTCAATCCCAACTGATTGCTGAGCTAGGGGCTTCTGAGATAACCGCAGAAAGCAAGACTGGAAGCATGACCTGGGTCTACTATGTGCCTAGGCCTAGGTGTCTGATCACTTGGAATATTCGGCATTGACTAAAGCTGCTTTGTAGAAGGTTCAAGCAAAAGCGCTCATTGAGGCCAAAACAACATGAACAAACCTCAGCATCGACGGCAGTGGCTTGGGATGTCCGTATCGTATCTTTTCTCCTTGTTGTGACCCTTGAAAACACAAGTGCCCCAGCAGGATATGATCGCCCGCTTTATTACAACGCCCCAGCTGTTGGCGCAAGCGACTTCGAGTCAAACCTCGAAGCCTTCTCCACTTTCTCTGCCTTCTCGGCCTTCACAAGTGATTCTTCCAGAGAAGCCACCTTTTGCTGAAGAGCCACAACTTCGTTTCCATAGTCTTTGACCATCTTCTCTGCGCCAGCCAATCTGGTCCTCAAAGAAGCCGCTTCGGAGGTGGCTGCATGCAGCCGCAATTGCAGCTGCTCTTTTTCAGAATGGATTTGTTGACACCGTGCCTGCAAGAGGTTGCTCTCACTGGTTGCGGAGCTGAGCTGGGCATTGCATTCTGCCTTGCTGTGCCGAAGTCTTTCCAACGCCTCAACCAGCTGTTGCCGCTCAGATCGAAGAGATGCCATAGCCTGTTCCGTCTGCCATTTCTCCTCCTGCATTCTCTGGAGAGTGTATGACAGGTGCTTGGCCTCTTTGTCCAATGCACCATTTGTGTTGTGGAGGCTCTTTAGCTTGTTCTGCAAAGTTGAAACCTGCACTTCCTGCTCCTTCAGGAGCTCTTCCTGATGCACAAGTGAAGCTTTCATGTGGGGCACCTCCGTCATCGTGGAATCATGCTGAGTGCGCACTTTGGCGCATTCTGTGTGGAGCGAGCTCACCATTTGTTCCAGCTCCTCTTTTTCCTGCTGGGCTTTGTGCAACATTGCATCAGAGCTTTCCAACTTCTGCACCAAAGATTGGCTGTGGGCCTTCTCAGCCTGCATGTCCGCGTGGAGCTTCTGCAGAGTTATGATCTCGACATGCTGATTGCTGATCATGCTCTCTGCTTTTGCCTTGTCAGCCGTGGCTTGCTCCAGCTGGTGCCTCAAAGCTTGAAGGGCCTCTTCCACAGCTGCCTGGTTGCTGACTCGAAGCTTTAAATCAGCCTGGAGCGTGGCCATGTTGGCCTCCAAGCCTCGAGCGGTATGTTCCATCTGTGCCTTTTTGGACTTGAGAGACTCCACGGCAGATCGAAGATGGACGTTTTCACTAACAGCAGCCTCCAGCTTTTTGCTCAAAGCCTTCACCTCGTTGGTTTTGCCTTCGTGAGCGTGCGCCAAGCAGGTCTTTTCCCAGCTATGGTGGCGGCCCGTTTCATGCACCAATTGGTTCTCCTCTTGCAGTGCTTGCAAGCGATCTTGCAAGACTTTGATTTGTTGAGCCTGCTCAGAGCGCTCTCGTTTGAGAGCAGTGATCTCCTCACCGCGCTTCAAATGTACAGCTGCAACCTCTTCACCGCGCTGCTGATGCAATGTGTGAAGCTCTTCAGCCCGATGATAATGCAAAGCCTCCATCTGCTTCTGCAACGCTTGGACCTGTTGAGCATGCTCTTGTTTCAGAGCCTTCACCTGCTCACCTCGCGTCAAATGAACAGCTGCCACCTCTTCGCCGTGCTTTTGATGCAAGGCTTGGACCTCTTCGACCCTAACTTTGTGCAAAGCCTCCACCTGCTTCTGCAAGGCTTCAACCTGCTCGCCCTTCTCTTGTTTCACAGCTTTGATCTGCTGACCCCGCTTTGAATGCACGGCTGCAACCTCTTGGGCTTGTTCGCGCTTGAGAGCTTTGATCTGCTTTGCATGCTCTCGCCCTAATGCGTCCACCTCTTCGCCGCGCTTCACGTGCATCTTTTCAACCTGTTGCGCATGCTCTTGTTTAAGAGCTTTGATCTGTTCACCCCGGGTCAAATGTACAGCTGCCACCTCTTCGCCGCGCTTTTGATGCAAGGCATTGGCTTCTTCAGCCCGAACTTTGTGCAAAGCCTCCACCTGCTTCTGCAAGGCTTCAACCTCTTCACCGCGTTTCTGATGCAAGGCATGGACCTCCGCGCCCCGCTGCTGGTGCAGACTTTGAACCTCTTCAGCCCGCTGCCTGTGCAAACTTTCGGCCTCTTCAGCCCGCTGTCGTTGTAAACGTTGGATTTGCTCTGTCAAGACATCATTCTCAACTCTTAACGTGTCGCGTTCTTCCTGCACAAGAAGAAGCTCCTCTTCAAGCTTCGCCACCTTCTCGCTCAACTTCTGCGCCAGCTCATACAAGGCTCCGCTGGCTGGCTGCACCCAATGTGAGGTCCCTGGATTGGATACCTCTTGCGGCATCCCGACGATGGTGCCATGGCCAAATGACTGGCGGGCAAAAACTTCTGGTGTGTCATCAATAATGCCACAAACCCTTTTTGGTTGGCCCTATCGGTTGGCCCTATCTTTCGGAGTTGCTTTCTGATCCTTTTCTGGCCAAGAAGGATATCGATATAGGGCTGCTTTTGAACATTTCATTTACACTGAAATGAAATCAGCCTGTTTTTAGAATACATATACATACATATAATATATATATATACAGTATACGGAAGCTGTATTAAATTCTTTCAAGCTCCTCAATTTTGTAGGAGCACTGCTTGGGCAGCACACCCACATGTCATCACCACAGGCTGTGTGAGGCAGTAAATGGCATCAGTGATATCCCAGTTGTGTGGTCGCAGGACTCTTGATCTGGATTCCAAAGCAACCAGCAACGTGCAGAACCTCGTGCTCGTCATTCAATCCCACTGAGGCAAGGCAGGAGGGCGCTGATGAGCTGCGAAAATGGAAATGGAAACCTGGAGAAAAACAAGTGGTCACTTCAAACAATGCTGAGCCTAGTGAGTCTGTACATGAGTCATAGTAAGGTTGAAAAGCATCACCAAAGCGAAAAAGAATTTGAGCCCCTCCAATCTACTGCAGTTCAGACTCAGATTCGTGAACCCTTTACCAAAGGCGAGCAAACATCGGTCACACAAAACGTCTGCCTCGTGTCCGCAATCTTTTTGGCGTTCAAAAGATTCACAAATCCTCTAGAGAGGGTCTGGTAGACTCGAGACAGAATGGGAGGTTGGACCTTCCTCAGCGTTCACGTGGAAATTTGCAAGAGAAACGTCGAGTAGAGTGCCCATAATGACACCGCAAAAAGAAACAACTCAAACAAAAAGGCAAGGAACAAGGAGCTACTAGTAACAAAGGCCATCGCTACTAGCAACAAAGGGCATCGCTACTAGTAACAAGGGCATTACTACTAGGAGCATGTCGCAGCCAGGCTTCAAGATCCCAATGTCGAGGTTGTGTGTGATCAAAGACCTCAGCGTCAAGAAGGTGATGGCCCCTTTTTCAGGCCACTACGGTGGGTCCTTTCTGGATCCAAATTGGACTCCACATACACAGTGTTCTTCAGTGTTCTTCAAGACATTCAAAATGTTCAACGAGAAACTCCCTCCAATTATTTCGGGCAACTTAGCTTAAGCATTGATGGTAAGGATTGGCGATAGCCGCGCAAGCCAAGGAGCTGAATCATGTGAAGTAAGACTTCTACACGATTGAATCGCAGCACCTTGCATCAGGCCATGTCATTGCTTCACTCTTTGATACCTTTTGTAGCTTTCTTAGAATCGGGCCTCTGCACACTCTTTCAAATGGGCCTGGGTCAGGTTGCTCAAGCCGGCTGCATCCTGAGCTCGTGTCATGGAGGCGTTTGCTAATTCAACAAATATACCTTGGTCAACTTTCAACGCAATAACACATGCATAAGGTAAATGCTCAACCGCCGTCCAAGTGTCAATGGTCTCGCAGAAATCACTCTCTTCACCTGAAAATGAGTCTGTACTGCGCACGGTAGCACTATCTAGGCCAGGGATCTTCGCATTCCCAAAATGGCCGAAGTCTCAACACGTTCAAGCTACCCCCTTTCATCCAGGAAACCTCAACTTCTCGACCCTTCGGACCCGGCATTGGATGAGGACAAAGGTGCCCAAATGGGATTGTTGAAAGGACAACTCCAAAATCCCTGTTTTGCAAGCTTTCTTGATCTTCCCACGCACCTCCAATTTCTTCGAGAGCGCTTCCATGGCAAAGGCTCATCAAGCCTGCAGTGAAGACAGCGAACAAACACCAGGTCTTTTTTCACGTGACTCGCTTGCATGCACTGAGCTGACAGACTCGCACGCATTTTGGAAGCGCAAAGTCGCTTTGAGCAAACTGATCACACTATAACTTCACTATCACATGTCATTGTCAAAGAGTTTGCATCATTTCACCGCAACGATCATACACCACACTACTCAGGAACAGGCGCACAATGGTGTGTCTGAACTTCATGGTCTCCTCAAACCTGCGATGCTTCAGGTGTTTTATCAGTGGTGGCTTCACTGTGTGTGT